AGTCCATCCACATAGGCTACTCGGTTGAAAGTAACCGAGCCGTTAGAAAGAACACCATATCCTCTAGTAGTACCTCTGGCATTATCTCCAAGGGTTACAGAAGGACCAAATTCAGACACATAGTTGATCAACAGGGCCTTGTTTTCGGTCATGTGTCTTGAACATCCACTGTCCAAGTACCATATCTGTCGGTGTCCTAAGCCCTTCTTTAGTTTGACCAGATCTTTGGCGTCCTTTGATGTAGAAGGTAGATCAGCAGCAGCAGCAGAGGAGGGGTCCTTAACAGAGTCTTCTATCTCCTGGATGTTGGCCATAAGACACAGAAGTGCCATATCCTCATCACTGGAGGAAGAGGTTGGCTCATCAATCCAGTCATGAGTCTCAGCGATGAGACCCWTACCTTTTCTCTRAAGGCTCAGGTTCTTTGCCTTTTCTCTCTTGTACTTTGCCTTGTACTTATCGTGAGAGGAACGGCTAGAGGGATGAGAAGGATGACGCTTAGAGATCCTTTTGCTTTTGCACTCAGCAGCAAAGTGACCTTTCTTGCCACAGTTGAAGCACTCCTCATTTGACAGTTCAAGAGGAGYTGACTTAGATTGATCTAAGGTTCTTCGTTCGGTGACCTTAGATCTGGGAGAGAAGGTAGAAGAGCCCTTTTTGGCATACCATTTGAAGTTGGTAGCCATCATGGCCATGTTGTCAGCCAAGTCATTAACTGAAAGTTCATCACCCTCATCATCAGCATGACTTTCAGCAGGTTCTTCTTTTCTGACAGCATCTTCTTCAGTGTCAGATAGATAAGTGATACGAGGTTCACTGACTGGCTTCCTCGTGTTGTTGGAGAGAAGGGCAACAGGAGAAGAAGTTATGGGATCCTTTAATAATGCCTTTTTGAGAAGCTTGGTTTGCTCATAATTATGGAGAGTTCCATAAAGAACAGTCAGAGGCATATTTACAAGATCTTTACTTGTCTTGATACAAGTGCAGATGTTATCCCAGAAGTCAGGTAAACAGTCCATGAACTTGCATAGGACTTCTTCGTTTTCATAGACTCTACCACGAAACTTCAGATCATTGAGAAGGCTGTTAAACCTGTTGTAGTACTCAGTGAGAGATTCACCTTTCCAGTGCACAAAGAGCTCATATTGCCTTACAAGRCCAATCTTCTTGCTTTTCTTAACTTCGATGGTTCCTTCATACAGAACACATAGGGTGTTCCACATGTCCTTGGCAGTAGAGAGGTCTACCAGGGAATGGAAGACATCATCAGGAAGAGAGAGGGCAATGATAGCCCTTACCTTGGTATCCAAGGAAACTTTTCTTTTATCATCTTCATTGTACTGAGAAGGATCTTTGATGATGAACCTTCCAGTAGAATCAGATTTCTCTTCATCATCATCAGAATCATCTGAAAAGTTACCATCGTCTTTGCTCTTCCCATGACGAAGCCATACTTTAGGAACAATGGGTCCATCCTTGAAGATTGAGAGATATTGACTATCAACACCCTCAAGGTAGAGAGTCATGCGACTTTTCCACACAGAGAAATTGTTTTTGTTAAACTTGGGAGGCTTGGCAATAGTGCCATTGTCTTGGTAAGAAAAAGGAGTAGAGTTAGAAGAAGAAGAGGCCATTGCAGATATAGCTTATGAGATTAAGCTAACTGCTCTGATACCACTTGTTAGTCCCGAAGGAAAAGACAATAAACATAAAGTAATTGTAGAAGGGGGGGTTGAATACAATTACACAGACTTTTTTCAACTTTTTAATTCTTATTGATTTATATCAAGAATTAATACACACAGAAATACAAAAGATTGTTGCGGAAGATAGGAAAGGAAAACCTAACCTAAACAATCTTACAAGGAGAAGAACTTTCAAGAACAACACAGAGAGTTCTTGAAAGGAAATGAAGAGCACTAAGAATTTCTTCCCACACAGGAGAGCAAGGGAGTAGAAGGGAATAGCCGATTGCTTTGAGAGTGCACTAAGTAATCTTCAAAAGCCAGTTGTGTGCATGGGAGATGCACACTGCCTTTTTATACTACCTTCAGCATTTAATGCATGGGGACACTTGTCACTTGAGGATAAGAAGGCAGAGGTTGACTTGACCAATGTTGATATCTTATTTTCATCGTACACAGCATGCATACAACACAGTTCATGCACAGACAAACTTTGCAGAGATATGGTCAGTCTGTAGGAAGATCTCCTTTGGATGGATATGTAGCTTCAAGCAGCTACACAAAAGTCTTCGGTCCATGGAGATTTTCACTCTTCGGTCCATGATCTTCAATCTTGAGTCCATGAAGATTTTGAATCTTCGGTCCATGATCTTCAATCTTGAGTCCATGAAGATTTTTAATCTTCGGTCTATGAAGATCTTCCTTCAATCGGCTTGTAGCTTCAAAATATTTTCAATATGCATTTCAGCTACTTCGGAGTCTTTGTGTGTATATTAGACAGTTGATCCACAACACCGCATCGGTGACCTTCTGTCTTCATATAGGCTAGTCTTTGATTTTGCCAATGGCTTTAAGTATGTACCAAGACACCAACTTACAAAGAACCAATAACTACTAAGTGTTGCTAAGGTAGAGGAACAGATCAGTGGGTCATCACCAAATCAATAGGTGACCCAACATGGGGTAATAGATTACATTAAATTAAAGGCATTAAATTTATGGATCCAAAACTTATTTATGATCAATTTGCAAACACCTAAACATTTCATGTATGTTTATCCTTCATATCATATCAAAACCCCAACTTTTAAATATAATCGTTCTTTGACCTTCTTAAAGAAAGTCAACTGTTTGATTCTAAATAAGAGCTACAGAAACCTAATGAAAGATTACAAGAATAAGTCTTGTTGGGGGGGGGGATATATATGTGTGTGTGAAGATTCAAATGAGATACGTAAAATATTTGAACCTGATAGATTGAAAGAAGAAAGCTGTAACAATCTGAATAAGCAACAACTACTCACATCGACCCTCACAATTTTATTAATACATCTAACAAAGCTAGCTCTACAATAGTACAGAATCAGAATAGCAATTCCCAAAAAAATTTGGGCTTCATTCACACTTGTTCTGAGTAGGGTGTAGGGATATAACTTCAGCTAGATCTTCAGCTAGATCTGCAGCTCCAAACACTGAACTCTTAACAACAATGCAATTTGCACCTACAACAGCTGTGTTTTAATGGTAGAAGACCTTAAACCTCCAGC